CAGCAGAGGGAAGTATTGATGTGCTCATCTGAGGTCAGTCTGTTAAAGATACCATTTTAAAAGGCTTTTGTTCAAAACAAGCTTTAGAAATATCAAAAATAATAAATTAATTTGCTGTGAAGAAAGGGGTGAAAGTAGTTGCGAATAGTGGCAAATGTGGTTTCTAAGTTTCATCGATCCATCAATTTAAAGACTGAAAAGCAAAAGTTTATTTGAGCTTGACTGACCACTTCTTGCATCTATTTGCTCACACACTGTACGTTCTGTAGACATAGAAGTTGCTGCACTAGGCACAGTGAGGTTAGAAAGCTCATTCAGTATCCTCAGAGTGAGTTATGATCTCATATCTTTGAATGTGATTGAATAAGTGAGCAGTACTGAGCATCTTTTTAGTGCACAGACAAGTAAAACCACATTCACTGCTGTTGGGTCACACCGGTCAGACAATATGAACCAACACCCATATAATCCACTGACATCAGGAAAGGGTTTGTATGACGGTCCTATTCTCTCAAGGTGCATTCACTGAATACACAAATGCTTAGTCAGTTTGACAAAAACAAAAAAGTGAAGCTTCTGGTAATACACATAGTAAGATAATACATTATCACTGAAATACTAAACGTCTTCAAATGAATGCAGATAGTGTGAAAAGGTATCAAACAGAGTTAACATCAGAGTTATTGTAGTCAACTAAAACTAAAACCATAAAGACATTTTCCTTACTTGAAATAAAATAAACTGAATTAGAATAAAATATTTTTTTAAACTTAAACTTTATTTCAGCTAGTTGCTAAGGCAAAACTGATTCTAAAATAACTAGAAATAAACTAAAAATAATAAACTAAAAATAATAAATACTATAGAGACATGTAAAAAAAAAAACCTAATAAAAATGACAAAAACAGAATTACTAAAACTTGAACGAAAATGAAAGAAAATGGAAAAAATAAAATATTAAAGTAAAATCTCATTTAAAAATATTAACAAAAACTTTAACAGTATTTCAGTGAGGTTCAGGAAAGTCATATAGCAAAGGTTTGTGTGACTTCCAATGGACAAACACAATAATCAATCTAATGAGTCATTAAGAAAGTCATTGGCAGCGTAACATCATATTGATTAGGACATATCTTCCATACTTGAGTCAATGACCTCAAACTAGAGTATGGTAACAGGAGCACATTTTTCTTTGGGAAAATCAGCATAACTGGCAGAGAGCAGTTATTTTATGGTTGCTATAAAAATTTTTATCGACCTTACTGACACAAGGCCATTTTGTTGTATTGCATTGTTTACTAAAACAGGCAACTGAATCTTAGCTTATAAAAGGCAGAAACTCTAAAATGACCTGGATAATATCGTTGACACCAAATTAGTCTTTGTGCGGGAGAATGGCCAGGATGGCTGAAAACAAAATGCTGGACTGTTCTGAAGTGACAAGCGATGGGTGGAGATCTAAATCCATCGAAAAAGCAATAGAGAGCAGAAAACAGCAGCTGGATTACATGCAAGATAGGAGCACTTTGTAAAAAGAAGAGCAGGTGAATCTACTGTAATGAGGTTTGGAAATATCATTAATCACTATCGGAAGCTTTAACTGGTAGATACAGTTAGATTTTACAAAGGTTGTGCCTCCAAATATAAAATACCAGTCAGTATTGTTTTAGTATTATAATATAATACATTTTTTTCATTAATATATTAAATGAGCCAAAAATAGATTTTTCTATTTTTATTTTATGTTAGTTTAATTTTTTTTTTTAATTCTATATTTTTTTTAATATTACTGTTTAGGGTTAATTTCGTTTTATTTCAGCTATAGATCCCCAGAGGAACAATTCCACTCATTCTCTACTATAGGAGAGGTAGAATTGTATGAATTTGTTAAACCAACAACATGTATGTTAGACCCTATTCCATCTAAGCTCCTAAAAGAGGTGCTTCCAGAACTTCCAGAACCCAAAACCTTCAAACTGGCTGTTATTAAGACTCTCATTAAAAAAATCACAACTTTACCCCAGAGAACTAGTTAATTACAGCCCGATCTCGAATCTCCCTTTTCTGTCCAAGATACTAGAAAAGGTAGTATCCTCACAATTATATTCCTTCTTAGAGAAGGAAGGTATCTGTGACTGTGAGGATTTCCAGTCAGGATTTAAACCGTATCTCATTAGAGAGAGAGATCTTATCATCTGATCTTGGTTGACAGTGACAGTGACAGTGACATGTGGCCAATGTTGACCCATACTCAGAATTAGTGCTCTGCATTTAACCCATCCAAAGTGCACACACACAGCAGTGAACACACACACACCGTGAACACACACCCGGAGCAGTGGGCAGCCATTTTTTTGCTGCGGCGCCCGG